TATTCTTGGTAAAACATCATATTTTTATAGTACTTTACCATTCATTAGTTAGTTTTTCCAGAAAATAACTAGTTTAAGCAAAAAACGTTTGGTTCGATACTTTATAGTTACCCTGTATGAACACATTTTGAGAATTGCAGCGATAGTAAATAAGATAAAATTTAATTTGAAGATAAATTTGTTTTTTTATTTATCTATTTATCTCGTAAAATCAAAGTATCTTACAATGATGATCTTAGAACGTTCTAAAACAATAACAAAAATAGTGAGAAAAAAGTGTAGAAAAAAATATATTTTTAAGAAGAAGAATTTGAGGGTGATTTTGGTAAAATTTATCTCCTTTTGTAATGAAATTTTCAGTTAAATTTTTTGAATAAATCCTGAAAATTCTGTTTTCAAACAAGTAAAAACTTTATTTCGTCTGTTTTTTATGTTGCACACTAGAAATAATTGACTTTTTGAGAGAGAAATACATATTTTAAATAATTTCGTCTTAAACTTTGTCCTTTCGCGTTACTTCACTGATAAGAAATGAAAACCAAAAACGTAAATACGTGGAGCTGTAAAAAGATAATTCACTTAACAATGAATAATTAAAACGAGATACTAAATAGATTATGTTAAATAATGATTCTCAAATAAATTTTTCCATGTGTGTATTAATAATTAACACATGTCCACACGAAAAATTGTTTGAATGTAATCATCAGATTTTGTATTCCCTTTTAGAAATCTACAAAAAAGATCTGAACAAAATGACATTTGAGAAGAAATCTTCAAGTTGTATTAGTTCCTCCTACGACATAACGTAAGTACATAGTATTAAAGAATTCTAATTCCCAAAAAATTCCACCAAAATTCATCGTAATTCCATTGATTTTGGATTAATTCTTTCAATTTCAAGTTAATTCCTGTAATTCCAACCTAATTTTTGTAATTTTAAAATAATTCCAATAGTTCTAAGAAATCAACGCAATTTTGAAAAAAAAGTAGCTACGATAATTCTAAAAAGAATTCCAGTGTTTCTAAAAAAATCACCAAAATTGTAGTAATTCCCTTGTTTTCAGATTAATTCCTATAGGAAATATCAAATCATTTACCGTAATTCTAATTTTCGTAATTACAGCTTAATTTTCGTAATTCCAAAATAATTCCGATAGTTCTTAAGAAATCAATGATAATTCTAAAAATAATTCCAGTAATTCTAATAGAATCCAAAAAAATTGCAGTAATTCTAAGAATCTACCGTAATTCCATTCTTTTCAGATTAATTCCTATAATACCAAATTAATTTCTGCAATTTCAACGTAATTTCTGTAATTACAGCTTAATTTACGTAATTACAAAATACTTCCGATAGTTCTAAGAAATCAACGAAATTTTTAACAACGCAATTATCTCCAATAATTCTAAAAATAATTGCAGTAATTCTAATAAAATCCAAAAAAAATTGCAGTAAATCCAATAATCTACCGTAATTCCATTCTTTTCAAATTAATTCCTATAATACCAAATTAATTCCTGCAATTCTTATGTAATTTCCGTAATTACAGCTTAATTTACGTAATTCCAAAATAATCCCGATTGTTCTAAGAAATCAACGCAATTTTGAAAAAAAAAAAGATTTAAAAAGAATTCCAGTGATTCTAAAAACATTCACCAAAATTGTAGTAATTCCATTGTTTCAATTTCCTGTAATTTTAATTTCCGTAATTACAGCTTAATTTTCCTAATTAAAATTTTCAACAACGCAATTATCCCCAATAATTTTAAAAATAATTCCAGTAATGTTTAATTCCATTGTTTTTGGATTAATTCTTTCAATCCCAAGTTTATTCCTGTAATTCCAACTTAATTTTTGTAATTCCCAAAAAATTCCGATAGTTCCAAGAAATCAACGCAATTTTGAACAGATATTATCTACGATAATTCTAAAAAGAATTCTAGTAATTCCAAAAAAAATTACCAAAATTGTAATAATTCCATTCTTTCCAGATAAATTCCTAAAATATCAAACTAATTCCTGTGATTTCCGTAATTACAGCTTAATTTTCGTAATTCCAAAACAGTTCTAAGAAATCAACGTAATTTTGAAAACGAATTATCTACGATAATTCTAAAAACAAATCCAGTGATTCAAAAAAAATCACCAAAATTGTAATAATTGCATTGTTTTCAGATTAATTCCTATAGGTAATATTAAATCATTTCCTGTAATTCTAATTACCGTAATTACAGCTTAATTTTTGTATAATTCCAAAATAATTCTGATAGTTCTACGAAATCAACGCAATTTTGAAAAGAAATTATTTACGATAATTTTGAAAAGATTGCCACTAATTCCTAAAAAATTCACCAAAATCGTAGTAATTCCATTTTTTCAGATTAATTCCTATAATATCAAACTAATTCCTGCAATTCTAACGTAATTTCCGTAATTACAGCTTAGTTTACGCAATTTCAAAACAGTTCTAAGAAGTCAACGTATTTTCGAAAAAAAATTATCTAAAAAGAATTCCAGTGATTCTAAAAAAAATCACCAAAATTGTAATAATTCCATTGTTTTCAAATTAATTCCTATAATATCAAACCATTTCCTGTAATTCTAATTTCCGTAATTACAACTTAATTTTCGTAATTCCAAAATAATTCCGGCATTCTTAAGAAATTCCAGTAATTACAGAAAAATTCAAAATTCGAAACAGTCCAAGGACAATTTTAAATTAAGCTATTCAAAATAATTCCAAAAATTTGTACAACTAATCCCAAAAAATACAAACATTTTCACTTTTTTGGTAGATTAAGTGCAACAACAGACCCCCCAAAATGGATGTTTTGGAAAAAACGTCGCTACGTCGTAGCAACCCTTGCATTTTTTGGATTTTTCAACGCTTATGCCCTTCGAGCAAACCTGAGTATTGCCATTGTAGCCATGACAGAAAATAAATCAACGATTTTAGACAACGGAACAGTGATTTTTTCAGTAAGTTAATATTTTTTTTTTGTTAAGGCTACAAAAAAAAGTCATGTCGTGACAACTTGACAAATTTTATATCATTTTGTTCGTCTCAGTGAGACAAATCAAATGCACTAAAAATTTTTTTAAAAAGTCCACACACTTTGAACAAAATAATTTTTTTCTAATTTAAATGAATTTAAAATACTTTAACTTTAAAAAATCATTACTCAATAACTATTAGGCCGATTTCCTTCAAATAAAGACCATTCTAAAGGAATGGCCTTTGCCCTTTAGAATGATATAAAATTTGAAATTGAAACTTTTTTTCGAACAGTGTTCGAAGAAGTTCAAAGTAAATCGAAATAATCTAAGAAAAACCCTACGAGTAATTTTTTTTCTTCGTCACCATCGTGTAGAGCATCTTTTTATTAGTAAGAATCCAAATTTTTAAAATAATA